GAGGAGGAGGATGGGGGGGGAGGGGGAGGAGGAGGAGGAGGAGGAGGAGGAGGAGGAGGAGGAGGAGGAGGAGGAGGAGGAGGAGGAGGAGGAGGAGGGATGATCATCGGCAGGAGGAGGAGGATGAGGAAGAGGAGGAAGAGGAGTGATGATCATCGGCAGGAGGAGAGGGAGGAGGCCGAGGAGGGCCCACGGTCAGAGGAGGGCGAGTTGAGGTGGCGGCAGTCGGCCTCTGGGGGCCGATTCGTCGCCACCGCTGGGCGCAGCTCGGAAAGCGGTTGCGTTTTCTTGGGCTCCACGAGGGGTAGGTTTATGAAGTTTCAACTTACCCATCGGTCGCTGAAAGTATGTATTTTCGGGAGTCCCAGATTCCAATCTGCTTTAGGCGCCTTCCTACCTCGAGGATCGAGTGGCTTCCCCTCTTCCCGCCTCTTCGGGGAGCGGGCGGAGACCCAATCATCTTCCAACGCCTTCCTACTTCGTGGTTCTACCTACTTCTTCCGACCGATGGGTACTTTAGCACTGATCGCCAGGAAGAATGTCGAGCACTAGGAAAGTACCGAAAGTTGAAGGCTTCCACGCGTCGGGCCCTGGGAGGCGATGCTCGTTCCACACCGTTTCGATACTTTTCTGGGGGGGCTCGAAAGCATCTGTGGGATATGGTCCCTACGCACGATGGGGGCAACAAGCGTCAAGGGATGGTTTTTGAGCTGCCGTTGTCTCAACCCGCCCTTCTCCGACGGGTGGGTCTCGCCGCCTCTGCGGCGCAGGATCCCCCTCTCGGCCCCGGCCTGCCTCCTCCCTTCCGACGAAGGCCTTAAGGCGAATTTTACACGAAAAAATGCAACAGTCAGACATTATTCAAATCATCAAGAAGAATGTCTACACAGCACCACTCTGTCAGGCCAGGGCCGTCCTGGGCCACAGGCTGGTGCACAGACCCTCCTGGCCTCGGCCAGGAGGGCGTATACGCCATGCCAGGGCCAGGATGGCCCTGGCCTGGCACGGGGGTGGAGTATTCGGGGGCCCCCAAACGGGGTGGTGACCACACCGTGCGGTGAGTCGGTGGGCATTCGGGCTCACCGCACGGTTTTGGGACTCGGGTCGTTCTCCGAGGACGTCTCGGGCGACATGGGCCTCCAGGGTCCCGAAACCGTGCGGTGAAGGACCGTGCGGTGAGGTCTCGGGGGATTTCGAAGTCACCGCACGGTCTGTCACCGCACCGTTTCGGGACTCCAATAGTTTGGATGCCTTCTGCGTGCAGTGCCGTTTTGAATACATGCTCCACGTGCGGACCATGTATTAAAACTAAAGGGTTGATTAATACATACAAGGATGAGTTCATGTATACATTGATCAATAAATTAATCATGTATTAAACATCATCTGTTTTTAGAAATCCGATGTATTAAACGTGCGCCGTATTCCTTCCCCGCTGCATGCTGGCAGAGGTGGGCTTCGCCGCCGACGTGGTGGAGCGCGCGCAGATCTACGCCGTGGCCTCGCACAACCGGTCTCTGCTGAGGCCACGCTCCAGGAGGAGTCTTCGGGGGCAACGCCGGGGGGGATAGGCCCACGGGGGGGATGCATCGATCCCCAAGTGTCCACTCATCACCGACAGTGGCCCGCTAGCTCACCCCGCCCAGGGGCGTGCGGTTTCGCTGTCTGGGGTCTGTCGCCGCTCTGTCGGCGATGCATCGTCGATTCCAAGGCGACGTTCCCACCCCCCCTCCTGAGCCGGTTCCCCCTGTTGCTGCCCCTCAGGGCTGAGGAGCAGGAGGAGGAGGAGGAGGAGCAGGAGGAGGAGGAGGAGGAGGGAAGAGGAGGAGGAGGAGGAGGAGGAGGAGGGGGAGGAAGGAGGATGAGGAGGAAGGGAAGAGGGGAGGAGAAGAGGAGGAGCGAGGGAGGAGAGGAGGAGGAGGAGGGAGGAGGAGGAGAGGAGCGAGGCAGGAGGAGGAGGAGGAGGAGCGGAGGAGGAGGAGGAGGAGGAGGAGGAGGAGGAGGAGGAGGAGGAGGAGGAGGAGGAGGATGGAGGAGGCGGAGGAGGAGGAGGTCGGAGGATTGCGGAGGAGGAGGAGGCCGAGCGGGACGAGGCGAACGAGGAGGAGGGGGCGAGGAGGAGAGGAGTAGGAGGCGGAGGAGGGGGAGGCGGCGGAGGAGGAGGGGGAGGAGGAGGAGGAGGAGGAGGAGGAGGAGGAGGAGGAGAAAGAGGAGGAATGGCTGGAATGGCTGGGAGGCGCACGCACGTGCTTCATTCGGCAGCCCCTGGGGGCGCAGGAGGAACACGAGCCTCCGCGCCCCCAGGGCCAGGCGCCGCAGGAGGAACACGAGCCTCCGCGGCGCGAGGCTGCCGCTGGGCGCAGGAGGAACACGAGCCTCCGCGCCCAGGGCAGCGAGAGCCGCAGGAGGAACACGAGACTCCGCGGCGCGGGGGCGCAGGAGGAACACGAGCCTCCGCGCCCCAACGCCCGACGTGCCGCGGGAGCGGCATTCAAAACTCGGCCGTCTTCACGTGCGGCGTCCCGGGCCCCTCGGAGGACTCCGCCACGGTGACAGCCTCGCCGTTGTCCCACATCTGCGTCGCCTCGAAGCCCGCGTCGAAGACCATCTCACAGACGGCCAGATGCGTAGCTTGAGCCGCCGCCAGCTGGGACTCCAGCTTCAGCACGGTGCGCGCGCCAGCCTGACACATCTTCCTGGCCGAGTCGACGGTCAGCGGCTGGGCAGCAGGGCTCTTCTCCTCGACCTCCGCCTGGGTGTCGAAGTCCTTCACGGCCACCTTCACGTCTCTGGTATCGGGAACCGCGGCCTCGCCCGCCATCGGTACGACCTCGATCAGCTTCATGCCCTTACTGAGCTTCAGCTCCGAGTGCGAGGCGGCTCCAACAATGCCGTCCTTAGCACCGCGCCGCCGCCCCCGCTGCCGTCGCTTGGCCTCCTTGCCGTCCTTGGGCAGCGCCTCCGCGCCCTCCCCGAAGAGGCAGTGCTCCGCCACGTGGGGGGCGGGGGGGGGGGCGGGATGGGGAGGGGGAGGAGGAGGAGGAGGAGGAGGAGGAAGGTAGGAGGAGGAGAGAGGAGGAGGAGGGGAGGAGGGAGGAGGAGGAGGAGGCGGAGAGGGAGGAGGAGGAGGAGGAGAGGAGAGGAGGGAGGAGGAGGAGGAGGAGGAGGACGGAGGGGAAGCAGGAGTAAGGAGGATGTAGAGGAGGAGGATGACGTATGAGACAAAAAGGTCTGGGAAGAAAACCTACGAGGTGAAGACGGAGCAATCCCCCTATGGGGGGGGGGGGGAGGGGGGGCGGCGGCGGCCTGCAGTGAACACCACGGCGCGGGGGGCTCTCGGGAGGGGCTCCGGTGCGCGGAACGCGCGGGCGCCGCGAGAAAAAGCAGCGAGGAGGAGCGGGCGCGGGCGACCCCCTTAGATTTTCTAGATTAATTAGATTTTTAGATAGATTTTTAGAGAGAATTTTTTATATAGATTTGACTTTTATTTTGATTTTAGAAAGATTAGATGTTTTTTTTTAGAAATAGATTTTTTTAGATAGATTTTGAGCGGAGAGCGGGCGCCTAGAAACGGGGCGATAGGAGTCAGGCGATCGCGAACATGGATCAACGGGGGCGTGGATTAGCGACGGGCCCCGCTTCCATGGGACATCGCGGATTCACGCCGCCGAACGAGGCAGCGCTGGCCGCGTTTCGGGGGGGCACTTCCCCCGATCCATGGACTCGGCGACCCGCCGAACCCATGGATCGCCAATCCACGTTTGCGCGCCCCCGAAGGATGGGCGGAGATGCAAGGGCGCGCGCTCCTCCAGGGAGAGGCGAGGAGAGGCTTGGCAAACCGACGTAGGGGGCTTGCACCGCGGCGCATCGCCACCAGCGAGGCTTGATTCATGAACGAAGCTCGTTTGGGCCAGTGCTCCTCTTGAGTCTGGGGGGGCGAGGAGATGCGAGGAGGCTCGACTCTTTAGGTTTCCTTCGGGCCTGTCCCCCCGCAGGGGGATTTTGGACGAACCAAGCTTCAAACAAACCCCAAAAATCCAACTTTCAGAAAAACATCCCGTAGATTTTGAGACAATTCTTGAACATTCCTCCTGTAGAGGGACAGGCCCGACTTAACTCCAGGTGGGCCCGGAGGTGACCCCCCCCCATGACGGAGGCGGCGGTGGACGCCGCCATCGTCGGCGTGCGGGGCCTCACCCCTGGCGCGGACAGGGCGGTCACCGCCCGCGGGGCGGGGGCGGGGCCGACCCCCGGCAGCTTTGGGGGAGCAGCTGAACGGCCACTAGCAGTGCATCTAGCAATGGGTCCACAGATGGGGCGCCGGGTGTTTTGAAGCCTTCGGTGGAGCGGATGCAGAGGGCAGCTCGCAACGCAGAGCAACACCTACGACGTCTCAGTCTACCAGACTGGGTTACATCTCATCGATTTTCGGCGTGCGGATGGTTGCTGAGACTACAGAGCTCGCAGAGTTCATGGGCTCACTGGGTTCTGCAGTGTTCACCGTCCGAGCCGCGCCACTGACGACAGCAAACATGCCCGCGCAAACGGTGGCTCGACACAACCGTCGCCTTCAGTTGAGGCGCTGAGGCGCCCCCGCTCTGCCTGCAAGCGGGCCGGACATTGTCCAGTCAGCGCGCTCTCTCTCTCTCTCTCTCTCTCTCTCTCCCTCTCTCTATCAGCTGAACAGCCGCGGCGCTGTGCTCGAAGTAGAATAAGGGCGGACAGATCCCCCACCCCGACACGTCGATTCGTGAATTGTCCGTTTTTGCGGCTCTCGAGAGGGCGCCGCGGGCGTCATTTTCCAGGCTCGCGCCCGCCAGGTTTGGGCCTGAGGTCGTCTTCACCAAACCATGTTTTACGAAAGGGGGTTTTGTCCATCCCCCCAAAAAACACGGTATAAACATAAACTTTCGGAATTCCGCGCGGATTTGTTGGATCTGCGCTAGGCCCCCTGGCGCCGCCTCCGGCGCCGCCCCTGGCGCGCTCCGCGCGCCATGGAAAGGAGGGCCCAGCGCGGGTCCGAGAACTCCGCGCGGACCTCCGAACATTTATGTCAATGCCGTTGTTTTTTCGCGAATTTCCCTGCTAACGCTTCACTGATAATTTCCCTGCTAATTTCCCTGCTAACGCTTCACTGCTAACGCTAATTTGTTTTTTTCCCTGCTAATTTCCCTGAGGCGCCACGCTTCCCAGTCCACTCGGGCGCAGGTGGAGTTCCATCCCGCTGGACGCTGAAACCAGAGCTGGGGACACCGTGCTGTGCGAACTCTGCGTGGCGAGGCTGGGTGATGAATACCATCCCGGGGAGGGCGGTCCGAGGAGGGTGCTTCCCTCCTCGGACCGCCCTCGGAGGAGGAGGAGGAGGAGGAGGAGGAGGAGGAGGAGGAGGGGAAGGAGGAGGACGAGGATGAGGAAGAGGAGGTGGAGGAGGAGAGGGAGGACGAGGAGGATTCGCACATCCTGGTTCTTGTGTGCCTCACGAGGGTGTTCACGAGGATGCTGATCGTCGGGGAGGTCTTCTTCCTCGGGGTGGCGATCTGGTCTGGGCGTTAGCTGAGGGCTTCGGGGACACACGGTCCCTATCCGAAGCTGGTCGGCCTCGGGATGGCGAACAAGAGTTTGCGATTGACTTGCTGCATTATGACTATGGCGACGAGTCCTGTGGTAGTCCTGATCTTCGTGAAATTATTGGTTTGCGTGGTCTCCGTGTGGAGAATGATGGAAATCTACGTGCGAAGCCTGAGCTTCGGGTGGAGCCAGCGGGTGATCATCGGGTTGAACCTGATATTTCAGTGGAGCTTGATCTTCGAGTGGGCTCTCTGTTATGAACGCACTGTTGTTGATGGTGCCGTTGCTGCTGATGGTGCTGGCGATGGCGGTGAGCGCTTCGTGTTTTAGATATGTTCTTTCTATTGCAGTGGGGCCCGCGCAAATACAGCGCCCGAGTGCCCGTGCTGTCATGCGCCAGCTGGCCTTCGGCTGGCTGTTCACGATGCTGGAGGTTGGCGTCCTGGCGCGCTCCCGATTGAGGACGCACGGAATACTTACACGCGAAGTTTCAGTGAAGAAGGACACAGATAGCAACATTTACTCTCTCGAACAAGGAGGTGCGCAATCAGGGGTTCCGCCTGCGCGCTGAACTCAATGGGCACATCGGGATGGTGTGCGGTCACCTGCGACATCGGTGTGGCCCTGCATCATGAACAGGGGAACGGTACTCTGTGCTGATTGGTGAGTTTGCTGTTTGCTCCGTACCTGGCTGTTGTAATTCAAAGCGGTCGTGGGCGTCATTGAGGGGCTTTCCTCGTGTGCTCAAACATGGTCTTGTGGTACGTATTGCTTGTCTGTGTCTCTGCTAGGCATCTTATGGAGTGGCGGGAGGGCCAACCGCAAGAACTGCTACGAGGCGGCGGTCGTGATGTGTCCTGGAAACATATGTGGTGGTGCTCGTGCCACGCACAAGGATTCGTACGCCGTGGCCTTGAGAGACCTCCGTCCCGTTTGTTCTTGTCATTTTGTTTCTGTTCGCCTTCGTTCGTCGTTCTGTCGACTCCGTTTTCGTATCCTTGCTTCCCGCGTTGTCGTTTTTGCGCTTTGGGGTGGTCGTTGCGTCCCCTAGGCTTCGTCTTCCTCCTCTTCTTCTCCATCGTTCCCTCGTCGCCCTCCGCTCTGTTCCACCTTGCACTAACAGTCGTGGCTGTCGGCGGGGGGGGGGCGGTACACAACAAATCCTTCCTTCTCTCCTCCCCTCTCCTCCCCCTGCTTCGTAAGCCATGCCGCTCCCTTTCCTTTTCCTCTCCTCCCTTCTCCTCCCCCTTTCCCCCATACTTTCCCACGTTGTCGACTCCATCCGACCCCCGCGTAGGCTACACATCGCTGGCAGCAGCGGCGCGATGCAGCTGAGCAGCGAGGTGGTGCTGCCAGGCCAGCTGCGTCGGGAGCTAGTGGCCGGCGAAAAAGGAGGAGGAGGAGGAGGAGGAGGAGGAGGAGGAGGAGGAGGAGGAGGAGGAAGAGGAGGACGAGGAAAAGGAGAAGGAGGAAGAGGAGGAGGAGGAGCAGGAAGAGGAGGAGGAGGCAGAGGAAGAGGAGGAGGAAAGTGAGGAGGACAGCAAAGTCGGGGCAAGCTTGCACAGCAGTACCTATCAACCTCGCAGGTGAGTGACGCTGACAAGCACACAGCGTTGGGAGGAGACGAGGGGTCCGGAGCTACAGTGTCACCTCAGAGTTAGAGTGGCCATTGGCACCATCTGTACTTCCCATGGCGCGGCAACCACTGACACCACCTGTGAAGCGCATGGCGTTTATTGCAGGTAGTCGATGCAAACCTTGCGCGCGCCATCCATACAGCATCGTTGGCGAGGAACCCGCGCTACTCATGTTTCTTCGTACCGTCAACGGCGCGACGATATCCGTACATCCACCGCCGCTGGCCCACCGTGAGTCCAGGATCGGTGTATATGGTATATGCTTCCCTGGCCAAGCCAGGTGGGCGGTCACACTGCTCTTGGGCCCATGATGGCCTCGGCCAGTGGCAGTGGATATGCATTGATCTCGTCGCCCTGCCCAAGGAAGATGATAACGACAGTGCCTTCTGCGGGCGTGTGGCCCAGCGCGCTCGTCAAGGCCCTGCCTCCTGTCGTGGACAACCAGCGAGTCTGTCGGTGCCAGACTTCGGCCACGCACGCTCTCTCAAATCTGGCCGGCGGCTGGAGCTGACAGTGGCTTGGGCATGGCCGCTCTGGTGGCCGAGGCCCTGCCACATGCTTGTCCCCAGGGGATGAGGTCGCTGCTTATCCGGCAGTGCCGTCCGGGCTCTGGGTGGACATTCGTGGACGGCCTGTCGCTCACCGCTGATGGCCCCGAGCACGAGACGTACCAGCCTGGAACAGATCCCTATCCCTATGCTGGGCACCTTCTCATCACGATGCCAATCTGAGGGATTCCCTTATCTTTTGAGGGCGAATCCCTAAGATTGTCATCGCCTTTTGGCGTGTCAATCTTAGGGATAGGGATACGTTCGAGGCTGGCACGAGACCCATGGTGCAGCAGGGCCCCAAGCGCGCGCGGGCCTGCGGCAAGGACTCGCGGACCGGCCGAGAACACGCCTCGAAGCGCCCCCGGGTCGAGGGCGGAGCCAACAGCAGGGGAGCAGATCGAGGCAATTGCTGACCCTACCGCTCCCCGCTCCCCTCCTCCCCCCCCCCCTCCTCCTCCTCCTCCTCCTGCTCCTGCTCCTGCTCCTCCTCCTCCTCCTCCTCCTCCTCCTCCTCCTCCTCCTCCTCCTCCTCCTCCTCCTCCTCCTCCTCCTCCTCCTCCCCCTGGAGTCGGGTGGGTCGCTCTGGAGCGTTCCAGAATGCTTGCAGCGCGTTCTGGAGCGCTTTGGGACGGCCGCGGCGCCCGATACATCCTCCAGAGCCGCTGGATCTCAGAGATCCCCGATGTCTCTGGTCCGGGTTTGTCCCTGTCCCAGCCTCTCACAAAAGTGTCGATGCTGGCGCTGACCAGCTTGTCCGGCTGGCCAGTGCCCGAGAAGCCTTCGCGGGGTGCACATGTCCAGCCGTCACAGCTCTGGGCAGCGCCTTTGCTCCTTCTCGTCGTTGTCTTTCGCCCCCCTCCTCTTCATCCTCTCCCTCTCTGTCTCTCTCTATCTCTCTCTCTCTCTCTCTCTATATATATATATATATACATAGTATGGGTCTGTTCTTCCCCCCCTCTCCTTTCCCCCTCTTCTCTCCCCCTCTCCCCTTCACGCGGCCCGCCCTGCCGATCCGAGCATAGAAGGCCAGGCAATCCCTTTGTGGAGGACGATCAATGGAGAGGAAGCATGTTGTCAAACAATTTCCAGATGTCCAAGACACGGATTAAACATGTGTTAAGCATGTTAAAGCATGTTATAAGCTTATTTATGACATGTTCAAAGGTTTTAAACAAACTCTTCTGTCAACGATAGGATTGTTCGGGTGTCCATTGTCATGGCATCCACAACGATACATCACATCCTCTGGCCAGAGCTGCTGCTGCACCGCGACTTGCATCCGCAGCAGGATCCCCTCCACTCCGCTCCACTCCACTTCTCCATGCCAGAGCTACGCCACACACGGCTTCCAAGCTACGCCAGAGAACTGGCACACAATTCATTCGAGACAACGCCGTCCGTCATCTACCAGAAGGTCTAGTCGAGAATACGCATGACGCGCTGCGGCGCTGCACGCCCTCCCCTTAGTTAGGACAGCCTTCGCTGTAGTGGCGTTCGTTTGTTCGTTCGTTCCCCTCCACTCCTCCACGCCCCGCCCCCCCCCCTTCCCGCCCCCTCTTGCTTGGCATCGCTCGGACGTGTGCAAGCATCCTGGATCATCGGGCCAAAGAGCACACGAAACTGAAAGATGCACGGGGAATGGACGTCCGAGCGACGGCCACCCGAAGGTCCCAACTTGCCCTCCGGATTCAGCGGGTGGGGGGGTCGGATACGATGAAACACACCTAAGGAACCCGTACCCGTCCCAACCCGAAATTGGGGTCGTCGGGTTGGGCTGGGGTGCTCTGGTAGGTAGTCAACTCCACGCCTCTCTACAGTCAACCCGCATAACGAGGATGCGCAACCTTCCCAAGGGTGCCCTTGCACCCTTGCCCCCTCGGCCCATCCTTGGCGACTTTCGCTGACCAGCCTCTTTCGAAAAACGCTAACCTTGGCCCTCCGAGGCCCTTGCATCTTTACCGCGCATCCTTATACATGATACGGGCCGACTGTGGTCAACTCCAAACGGCGTCCCCCCAACATACTAATACTATATGTGCGTCGCCCCCCCAGGAGCGACGCGCGCACCGAGAAATCTTATGGTATATGCGTCGTGGCGGGCGCTTTCTGGCCACACCGCTCGGGAAACGATACACTGCAAGATGGGCACACTACATGTTCGGGTCGGACGCGCTCCTCCAAGGAGGACATGTAGTACCAGTATGTCTCTGTGCGTCCCGTCCTCCCCTGGGGAAACCAAGAGGTACCGATACCGCTACTCCCTGGACCTCTCCTTGGGTGCGTTCTGACCAGGATTCCCAGGCGAATCCAGCGGTGGCGACGAGGGCCTCCCAGGAGGCCCCAGGGCTCGAGCTGATCGGTGTTTTGACAATTTCGTGGACCGTTTTCGTTCTGATTTCTTTTTGCAGCAAGTGTGGAACGAAGACAGAACTAGGGATGACGAAAACAAAAACGAAAACGGAAAACACTGTTCAGCTCGAGCCCCGGGAGGCCCAAAAGGGGAAAACGGGCGAAGGGCAGAGTTATGGGTACCTTTTCCTCCTCCCACCTCCCCTCCGCTCCGCCCCTCCGCGCCCCGCAACCTTCCCCTGCCCGCTCCCGCCCGCCGGCAGGCGGCCGGGGCGCCGACGGCCCCCTCGGCGCGGCGTCGGCGCTGGACCCGTCGCTGTGCGCCTGGGCGCGCGGCAGCGTGCTGCTGGCGGACGGCTGCGCGCTGCGGCAGGCGCCCACTGCGACTACGCTTATGTCGGGCCTGTCCCCCTACAGGGGGATTGTTGACGAAAAATAACAAATGATCAAACAATAATCAAAAAAGAGTCCAAAAATAGTACGGGGATTATTTTTTGAATATTTTTGGACCTTTTTGGGGTATTTTGGGTTTCTTTAGTTTTCGTTGAAAATCCCCCTGTAGGGGGACAGGCCCGACTTAAGATTACGCGCAAGAGCGACCTTTCGCTGGAGTGACCTTGGTCGGGGGCGAGCAAGAGGGGGGTGATGACCAGGGGTGCGTGGGTATCATGGTGGGGGCCATGATATCTCCCCAGATCTCATGGCGCCTCTTCTTGTTTCCTTGCGTCCCCGGCCCCCCCCCCCCCCCTGGGCCGCGGCCCCGCACCCCTGGGCCGCGCACATGCCGCCGGCTATGATTTGTGCCCCCCCCCCCCCCTCTTGGACGCCCCCCTCCTGGACGCCCCCGACTTTGGTGCGGGCCCAAGGGGGTCCCCCGATCGCCGAACGCGATGCGGTAGTGGTTACCGTTTTGCGCGCTGCCGTGCTGGTGCTCCCGCGGCCCCCCCGCAGCCGCGCGCCAGAGGCCGCTCTTACCCAGGGTCGCTCTTGGGTGTAGCCGAGCCCCTGTCGTCGCAGGGCGAGGGGGCTGGGCGTCATCGGGCGTCGGGGTCGGAGGAGGAGAAAGGAGCCGATGCCGCTGCCCTTCCCTCGGCATGTGCGCCTTCCTGGGGCCTCCGTGCAGGCCCACGTCGCCACGGCCAGATTCGCCTCGAGGTGCTGGTCAGGATGCACCCCAGGAGAGGTCCGGCGGTGTCGTGTGCCTTTTGGTTTCCCCACGGGAGCCACGGCAGGAAAGCCGACGAGCCCGACGACGGCGATGGCGAGAACAGCCGGCGCCGCGGCGGCGCAGACGGTTGCACCAACAAGGGCGCGGGCAGCCAGCGTTGCACGGGCTTGTTGGCCTTGGCCACGCGAGCAGTGGTGTCAAGGCCGCCGACGACAGCACCAACCGCGGAGACCCACATCGCAACGCCCGCGACCATCTTGTGCGAAACCACCAGCCGCTGTCCATCAGCAGGAGCTAGTCGAGTGTGGGCCGCAGTACTTTTGGCCGCCTGCTCGGCCAGCTTACAATCGTACCAATCGCGGTGCGAGATTGGTGAGCAGGGGCCTCCCTGATCGTCAGGCCGTGCTCGCCCAAGCCGCCGAACTCGTCCAGCAGGCGCCACACATATCTTCCGCAACTACGGTCCCGCTGATCAAGAAACCTCCCCCCGAAAAACTGGCCCAGTGCTTCTTGACCAACTTGCCGGAAAGCTGGCCCAGTTTCTTAAAGGGACCGGTAGCCCTGGATCCCAGAAGTGAACCGTGCACGTCCATGGCTCCAAAAGCTGGCCCGGCGTCTCCGTAACCAAGAAACTTCTGAAAAGCTGGCCCAGCTTTCTTGATTGATGAATTTCTCAATCATATTCTTGATTGTAAATAATGGAGGATGACGATTAATGAATGACCCGGGGTCGTGTTCACACGGCGGCGCCCAGGATGACGATTAAAGAAACCGGCCGCGGGCTGGAAAACTATATTTTTTTAGTCCTTCTCCTCCAGTCAGAAAGTTGTGCAGAAATAGCAGGCAACTTTTTTTTAATCGTTCTCTCCCGTTTTTTAATTCGTCATCCCGCATTACTTATCCTGGCCCATGTCTGGGGGAACCGTCTCGCAAACTGCGCACCGTTTCGTGGGAGGCGCGCGTGCGCCGGGGGCTCCATCGCTGGCGCACCTCGCGGGGGGGGCCTGGGCCATTTGCCAAGCTGATTTCAGGAGGGAATTAAAACACACAGACACAGACACAATTAATCCTCGATTCCCCAGAAAGTATGGGAAACTATGGGAAGTGGGGGGGAAGGCAAAACCAGAACATATGGGAGAATATGGGGAATCCTCTTCTTTGTGTGTATCTATTTGTGTGTCCCAGGGCCCCTTCAAGATTGTTTCGACGGGGCTGGGGCTCGTCATTCTGCTGGGGCGCAACCGTCACAAACGGTTGCGCCCGGGCGCGACTGCGGGAATGGCCGCCGACGTGGAATGAGTTCGGGGGTAATTACTTACACATTGTTTCTGTTTCCGTTGTTTTGCCTCGCCACAGGGTTCCTGGGGTTGCGCCAGGGGGCGATTTGTCTCGATGCACGGGCGTTCAATGGCCCGTTTGGGCCCAGGGTTCTATGGCTTGTGGATAATTGGCTCAACTCCCTCGGGCTCGAAAAGGTTATCCCTAAACTGCTGGGGGCCGATCCGCTGGGGGGGAGTTCGAATAGTTTGGGAGGTCTCCATCTCGGTGGCTTTCCCCTGCAAGGTTGCCGCGCGGGATGACCTCCTCCCGTTGGGTTAGCCTGCACGCTCGCATTCTCCGCTCGTTTGTGCGGTACCCGTGCGGCATTGAGGCTGACATGTTGTTGACCCCACTTGCCTGTCAGTTGGTTGCAACGCACGCGCCAATGTATCGACTCTTGCACAAAGCGTTTTCGCACTGCCAGACGTCGGTCGCAATGTCGATGGAGTGGCTTCGCCACCCCAGGGGAAAACAACCTGATCCGCGGCCGGCGACGACAAACCCTGGGCAAGGGCCAGAATTGTTCCACGCATCTCTCCACATGTGTGACCACGCCTTAGGGGGCCCCGGAAACGGCAGGGCCGTGTCTTCACCGTTTTCGAAGAAGCAGTTTTTGAGAATGGAAGTGGTAACAAAAACGGCGACCAGAAACGGAAACAAAAACGGTTCCAGGATTGGAACCAGAACCGGAACCGGCAAAACAACGGCGACGGATCCGGCAAAAAAACGGCGCCAGAACCGGCAAACACAGCAAAGTGGAACCGGTAGAACGACGGCCTTATCGTTTCCAGGGCCCATCAAGGACCACGCCAGCCTCCTGTCACGGTGGACCAGGCATACGAGGTTGTCCTGTCACGGCCAGTCTCCGTGACCCCCAGGAGCACGACGTTGCCGTCCACCACGGCGGTGCCCGGCGGCCCTCCGCGGCGCAGCACCGCCACCACCGCCGAGAGCTCGACGCCGTCGAGGATGAGGAGGAGGAGGAGGAAGAGGAGGAGGAGGAGGAGGAGGAGGAGGAGGAGGAGGAGGAGGAGGAGGAGAAAAAGGAAACGAGGCAGGAGGAGGAGGGGAGGAGAGGAGGAGGAGGAGGAGGAGGAGGAGGAGGAGGAGGAGCAGGACGCGGAGGGAAGGAGGAGGAGGAGGAAGGGAGGAGGAGGAGGAGGAGGAGGAGGAGGAGGAGGAGGAGGAGGAGGAGCAGGCGGAGGAGGAGGAGGAGGAGGAGGAGGAGGAGGAGGAGGAGGGTGGAGGAGGAGGAGGAGGAGGAGGAGAAGGAGGAAGAGGAGCAGGAGGAGGAGGACCAGGACGAGGAGGAGGAGGAGGAGGAGGAGGAGAAGGAGGGGGATGGATGAGAGAGGAAGGAGGAGGAGGAGGAGGATGAACCACCCAAAGACGAGACGCCACCCTGAGACTGGGCACAAAAAGCCCCCAGCTCGGCACGGCGCCCCGGCGAGATAAGTTCGGCTACGTCCACCCGATTGGCTCTCTCGTCAGTCCGGCGGCCGTCACGTGCAGAGAGCGCGACATGTGGGTTGTCCACGTTTTCTTCAAGCAGCCTTGACCTAAATCCCGGTTTTTACGCCACTCCGTCGGCCCAGATTTTTCCCTTGTGCGGTGGGCGGATCGTGTGGTTTGGTGGTTTGATCTGATCTGGCGTAGCGGTAGACAGATGTTGGAGAAGGTGACAAGGAGGGTGGATGGGGAGCAGTGATGGGGAGGGGAGAGGAGGGAGGAAGGATATGATGAGGGAGGGAAGGAGGGAGAAGGGATGGAGGGGGAGGATTGATGAGGAAGGAGCGATGAGGGAGGCAGGCTGGGCCCGTTGAAGGACTTGGCGGGTGTTGTCGCGCGCGCGATATTACTTCGTCTGACCATTTTGTAAGCATATCCTAACTATTTCAGTGGGACGAACACACCTGCTGAACATTCACAAAACATCGACGGGAATTCTCCGGGCGGGGCGGAAGATTTACATAACAGTTTCGAAGCATCTACGAACTATCTTCGGGAAGCGAACGCATCTACACAAAATCCCTCAAACAACTACGAAACATTCCGGGGGCCGAGAACAGTTTCAAACATCCAAGACACATCTCCGAAACATCTCCGACGCACCTCCGCAGAATCGAAAACGATGCGGTCTCGTCAACCGAAGCTGCGGTCGCGCGAACACGTTTTTTCGCTTACGGTGCGAACCTCGCCTAACATATTGCAAGTTAACATGCAAAGCCAAGGTGGTCCCGCGAACCCGATTCCGTTCGCGGGCCGAACCTTGCCCAAAGCATCTACAAGCACATCCGGCACATCTCCAGATTATCTCTCTGGGGCGAACACATCTACATCCCATCTACGACACACCTAAGAAACACATCTGAGTGGCGAATACATTCACATAACTTCTACGAAGCATATACGAAACACCTGCTAGGAGGAGAAAACATAGACATACCTTGTGCGAAACATCTACGAAACATCTCTCTTTGGGGCGACGACATCAGTTACACATTGTCTACGAAAAGTCTGCGAAAGATCTCCCAGGGGCGAGAACATCTGCAGGACATGTACGAAGCATCTACGAAACATCTCCCACCCATTTCCTGCGGTATAGTTAGCCCACGTTGCAAGGGCGCGTCGCTGCAGCTGGAGGTCGTGAGCGCGGCCAGAGGTCGACATTGGCTGCCCGCTGTCGACACTGCCGACGTGGTGGCTGTTTCTTTGGGGGGCAGCTTGGCGTCGCGCGCCTCGCAGCGCTGGCCGCTGTGTTGGGCGATTGTCCCAGGGACCGAATGCGGATAGCGCATTCCAAACTGTGCGTCAGGCTGGGCAGAGTGCCCGGCAGTGCGCCCAGTCGTCGGGCAGGGCCTGTATCAGGGGAGTAAAGACCGCCCGGACCGGACAGTTGGCGTGCACGAAGCGGCCTTGGGCGTTGACTAAGCGGCCCTGCCCTGTTCGGTTCCTTCTTTGGGCGCGTTTACTAGACGACTTCGCGTGTCGGGGTGTCGGGTTGTTTTTGTTTGCCCTCTATTTACCAGCCTCGAACGTATCCCTATCCCTAAGATTGACACGCCAAAAGGCGATGACAATCTTAGGGATCCGCGCTCAAAAAATAAGGGAATCCCTAGGATTGGCATCGTGATTAGGAGGTGCCCAGCATAGGGATAGGGATATGTTCCAGGCTGGTAATCTGCTGTGGGCTGCTTCGGAGGCGGTCGCTTCGACCCTTCTCTGGACAGGCTTCAGGGCCACCGGCCGCGCCCTCTGCACCGTCCCGCCGCCGTGGCGCGCAGGCGCGCCGCCTCGTTTGCTGGGCTTGTTTCCCACCACCCCCACCAGAAGTTGGAGGGGGAGGGGGTCCTCCTCCTCCTCCTCCTCCTCCTCCTCCTCCTCCTCCTCCTCCTCCTCCTCGTCCTCCTCCTTCCCCTCCGCACGGTCGGTCCCCTTCGCCATCAGGGAGGCTGCGTCGATGTGGTCCGCCCAGCGCTCGGTGCTGCCACCGCTCACACCGGCCCGTGCCCGCACGAGGACCTCCTCCATTCGGATGCCACTCCTGGGAGGTCAGATTCTGTTTTCCTAGTAGTTGCCTCCTAACCTCCCAGCAGTTGCCTCCTAACCTCCATGAGCCCCGCCAGGTTGGGCTCCTAACCTCCATGAGCCCCGCCAGGTTCCACCTCGATGTCCGAGTCCGCCACGAGCTCGGCGGAGTCCCGCGGGGCGGGCCCCTCCGCGAGCCCTGCCAGGCTGGCCTCCGCCGTGGTGCCCTTCACGGGCTCCTGCATCAATGAGCCCTTTCATGTACGGTAGTTTGGCGTCGTGTCGGCCGGCGGCGGCCGACCCCGACGCCGGCGTTCAACGTCGAATGTCGCCAGCGGCCCAGGATCGGTCGAGGCTGAACGATCTGACGTTTCAGCAAACGGCCGATCGTTCAAGGTTGAACGATCCCCTGGGTGTCAAGAACCGACGCCAGAGTCGGCACGACGCGAACCTGCCGTAGGTTGGGAAGGGCGGGGCCGCGGGCAAAGCTCTTCCTGTACACGGCCCCCTCCGCGAGCCTGTCCTCCTCCGCGGCAGACTTGGCCTTCGTACCTCGTGGGTCGGAGCCGCGGTGCCACACGTCCAGCTTGTCGTCCGCCTGCAGGGTTCTCCTGAGGAGCTCGGCGGTGACCTCCTCGGGATCCTCATCGCGCAGATCGCCCAACCGCTGCGGCGCACGCGGAGCCGAGGTCCGCAAGTCTCGTCACCGATGGAGCAGTCCTTCACGGCCAACGGGGGCACGCCCACCTCCGGGCACGTCGGGCCGGCCGTGCCCTCCACACTCCACCACCTCGGCCTGCATTATCGCAGACTCCCGTGCGTCTGTGGCAACCTCCGGCAGCGCCACCTGCCGGTCACCGCGCCGCGGCGGAGCCGCGGGCGGTACCGCCAGTGCCCAGGCGCTCGCAGCACGAGAGAGCGCCTCGACCGGCCCATGGCCCGCATTCCGCCGATGTGTTCAACCCGATCTTGCGCGGCATTTGCATTCCGCGTCCTCACGCCGCAGGCCCAGCCCCAGCAGGGCACATTGAGCGTCGGGACCTGCGCCAAGGGGCAACAACTGGCAAAGGTACCAGATCCCTTGGGCCCAGGTGGCTTGAGAGAAGGAGCAGGAGGAGGAGGAGGAGGAGGAGCAGGAGCAGGAGCAGGAGGAGGAGGAACAGGAGGAGCAGTAGGAAGAGGACGAACAGGAGGAGCAAGAGGAGCAGGAACAGGAGCATGAGGAGGAGCAGGTGCAGCAGGAGGAGGTGGAGGAGGAGGAGGAGCAGGAGCAGGAGGAGCAGGAGGAGGCGGAGGAGGAGGCGGAGGAGGAGGAGGAGCAGGAGGACTTCCGAATTTCGTTCGGTCGGCTGGGAGATTTCCGCGGGAGCGCCGGGCAGGTGGACGTGCAGGGTGGCCGAGTGCGGACGCTCGTCGGGATGCCGGACCAGTGCGCAGCTGTTCAGCCGAGCGGTGGCTTCCAGCCCCGTCAGGGTGGGCCAGAAAAGGATGGGCAGGGAAGGATGATTGATCAGGAGGAGAATCAGCAGGAGGGAAAGATCCGCCGAAACTGGGACGAGGATGCATCTGTTCCAGAGCGTACTGGAACACTTTCAGAGCACGCCTCGGGACGGTCGCGGTGCCCGATACCTCCTTCAGTTCCGCTGGATCTCAGAGATGATCGATGTATATTCGTCCGAATTCGTCCTCGTTTTGGCTGCATCGTAAAGATAGAGATGCAGAGTTTTTCAACCGTTTCCGTGCTCTCGTCGAGATGGGTGGGGTCAGGTGCGGCCGCGTCTGTTCCGCCAGCTCAGCCCTTCGTCGTGTCGCCTTGGTGGCTCTTGACTTTTGGCTTTGCTTTGGCGTCCTTTTGCTTGCCGTACGTGTTAGCTTTCTTGTTTGGTTTGAGTTTGAGCCTCCTTTCTTCCAGCAGCTTTGTGTCTTTAGTGTTCCTTTCCTCTGTCGCCAGCTCCCAGCACTTGTCTGCTTTCGGCTGTCTTCTCTTTGCTTGGTTTTTTCTCCAGCAGGGGGAGGAACAAGAGAGAGGAAGATGGAAGGATCAGGATGAGGATGAGGAGTAGGAGTAGGAGTAGGAGTAGGAGTCAAGTAAGCCAGCTCGAGCGAGTCAATCATGGCATGCCCATTCCCACCCGCCCTCCCACAATATAAGAAACAGTACTGACGCAACTGGGGGCCGAAATCAGATCGGCAAGGTGGTTTGGCACAGCTGATGCAGCCACCATGGCGGTTACCGATGGGGAATTCCTGGCGCGTCTCAAAGGCTGCGCTGGCATTTTAGCACGAGCCGAGGATGCCCCACAGGCCCCAGGAAGCCTCAGGAGGCCCCAGGAGGCCTCAGAAGGCCCCAGAAGGTTGCAGGAAGCCCCAGCGAACCCCAGGAGACCCTAGGAGGTCCCATGAGGCTTCAGGAAACCCTAGGAGGTGTCAAGAAGCCCTGGGGAATCCTAGGAAGCCCCAGGAAGCCTCAAGAGGCCCCAGGAGGATCCACGAGGCCCTGGGGAGGCCCCGGGAAGCCCGACGAATTGGCGAGCTGGAGGCCCCAGGAAGCCCCAGGAGGCCCCAGGAGGCCTCAGGAGGCCCTGGGCTGACCGTATCATGCCGCCTCATGCCTCGGGATGTTCCAGGAGGCCCTGAGAGGCCCCGGGCGCCCGACGAATTGGCGAACGAAACATGTGCGCTGCGCCTGTGCGGGAGCGCAACTTTCAGAAAACATGCGCGCGGCGCCAAGGCGAGAGCGACGAGGACGAACTGGCGAGCTGGAGGCCCCAGGAAATCTCAGGAGGTCCCCAAGAGAATCCACGAGGCCATGGGAGGCCCCCGGCGCCCGACGAATTGGCGAACGAAACATGTGCGCTGCGCCTGTGCGGGAGCGCAACTTTCAGAAAACATGCGCGCGGCGCCATTGCGCGCGCGCCAAGGCGAGAGCGACGGAGACGAACTGGCGAGTCGATCCGGTGGTAAATCGAAGGAGGTCCCAAGCGAATCCACGCGAGGCCATGGGAGGCCCGCGCCCGGAACGATCTGGCGAAGAAACATGTTGCGACGTCGAGCGCGGCGAGCGCAACTTTCAGAATAAACATGCGCGCGGCGCCAAGGCGAGAGCGACGAGGACGAACTGGCGAGCTGAAGGCCCCAGGAAATCTCAGGAGGTCCCCAAGAGACTCCACGAGGCCATGGGAGGCCCCCGGCGCCCGACGAATTGGCGAACGAAACATGTGCGCTGCGCCTGTGCGGGAGCGCAACTTTCAGAAAACATGCGCGCGGCGCCAAGGCGAGAGCGACGAAGACGAACTGGCGAGCTGGAGGCCCCAGGAAATCTCAGGAGGTCCCCAAGAGAATCCACGAGGCCATGGGAGGCCCCCGGCGCCCAACGAATTGGCGAGCGAAACATGTGCGCTGCGCCTGTGCGGGAGCGCAACTTTCAGAAAAACATGCGCGCGGCGCAAGGCGAGAGCGACGAAGGACGAACTGGCGAGATTGGCCGGCCCCAGGAAAATCTCAGGGAGGTCCCCAAGAGACTCCCCGAGCCATGGGAGGCCCCCGGCGCCCAGCGAATGGCGAGCGAAACATGGCGCTGCGCCTGCTGCGGGAGGCGCAACTTCAGAAAACATGAGCGCGGACGCCAGGGCTGAGAGCGACGAGGGACGAATTGGCGAGCTGGGAGCCCCAGGGAGCCTCAGGAGGCCCCAGGAGAATCCACGAGGCCCTGAGTGGCCCCGGGCGCCCGACGAATTGGCGAGCGAAACATGTGCGCTGCGCCTTTGCGGGAACGCAGCTTTCAGAAAACATGCGCGCGGCGCCAACGCGAGAGCGACGAGGTACGAACTGCGAGCTGGAGGCCCAGGAAAAATCTCAGGAGGTCCCAAAGAGAATCCACGGGCCATGGGAGGCCCCGCGCGCCGACGAATTGGCGACACGGCGCGAGTGCGCTGCGCCTGTGCGGGAGCGCAACTTTCAGAAAACATGCGCGCGGCGCCAAGGCGAGAGCGACGAGGACGAACTGGCGAGCTGGAGGCCCCAGGAAATCTCAGGAGGTCCCCGAGAGAATCCACGAGGCCATGGGAGGCCCCCTGCGCCCGACGAATTGGCGAACGGAACATGTGCGCTGCGCCTGTGCGGGAGCGCAACTTTCAGAAAACATGCGCGCGGCGCCAAGGCGAGAGCGACGAAGACGAACTGGCGAGCTGGAGGCCCCAGGAAATCTCAGGAGGTCCCCAAGAGAATCCACGAGGCCATGGGAGGCCCCCGGCGCCCAACGAATTGGCGAGCGAAACATGTGCGCTGCGCCTGTGCGGGAGCGCAACTTTCAGAAAACATGCGCGCGGCGCCAAGGCGAGAGCGACGAGGACGAACTGGCGAGCTGGAGGCCCCAGGAAATCTCAGGAGGTCCCCAAGAGAATCCACGAGGCCATGGGAGGCCCCCGGCGCCCAGCGAATTGGCGAGCGAAACATGTGCGCTGCGCCTGTGCGGGAGCGCAACTTTCAGAAAACATGAGCGCAGCGCCAAAGCGAGAGCGGCATGTCGTCCTGTCGCGCGAGACTGCGCCGCGCCCCATTCTCGCCACGCGTTTCGCAACGCCGACGACAAGAAGGTCCACGTTGACAAGAGACAGGTCGACTTTGCATTTTTTGTTTGACTGGTAAGATTGCCCCTCCCGCATGAGGTGGCCCCAGACGTCCGCGCGCGATGTGCGCCGCGTCCCGCTCCTGCCACGCATTTCGTATCGTCGACGACAAGACCGGCCATGCTGAGAGAAAAACCAACGACCTTGTATTGTTTTTTACCATTGGATGGGAGGGCCCGAATTGACGGCCGCGCGCTATGTGCGCCGCGTCCTACTCCTGCTTCGCAGCTCGCATCGCCGGCGACAAGAAAGGCCATGTTGAGAGAAACAACAACGATTGCGTAATGATTTTTCATAGTTCGGATGGGAGGGCCTGGATTGACGGCCGCGCGCGATGTGCGCCGCGTCCTATTCCTGCTACGCATTTCACCGTCGACGACAAGAAAGGCCATGTTGAGAGAAGCAACGACTACTTTGCATTGATTGTTTACACTTGGGTGGGAGGGCCCAGAAGGGGCCGCTATCGGCCAGCCAGAGGGGGGAGTAAGAGTATATTCGAATAAGGAATCAGGATCGGAGGAGGAGGAGGAGAAGGAGGAGGAGGAGGAAAACCAGAGTCATCCCAAGGTGCATCAACGATGCTGCAAGACACCCTCCCGAACCAATTCCCTTCCTCCGTCCCGACGAGCTTTCCTTCCCACTTCAGTAGGACCCGCCCTTTTTTTGGAAGGTCAGCACCCGATCGGTCTGCCATGAAAGCTAGAACTCCGTTTTGAAGACCCACTGCCTTGCATCCTTCTGACGAGCAGAAAGTGAAGCGCCGCAGAGGTATGAGGTATGATCATGCAGTTCACTGAGGTGTCTAGTGAGATCCTCGTTTTGGGAATTGATTGGACCGCCCGGCGTGGGTACCTTGCACAAGAGGTCACTTCCTGGTCGCGGGCGCGGAGGATGCAGCAATCGAACACCCAGGCTTGAAAAGGGCGCCCATTTCCGCCCGTGCAGCCGTACCAGATGTGCAACCTCTGGCCCTTGCGCCGAAGAGGTCCGGCACGAGGCCCCGCGACGGAAGTCCGGCCACCCCCCCAGCAGCGCAGCTGTGCACCTCCTCGGGTTTGTGACGTGTGCCATCAGGCCCCCCGAGATGGGGTCGGAATGGATGAGGTCGGAGAGGGTGGTCCTCGAGCGGAAGGATCTGGGCCTCCTAGATGGGGTCGGAGCAGATGGGGTCGGGAGATCGCCCCGCATCGCCGATGCATCGGTGGTGCGGCTCGAAGTGGAACCCGATTTGCTCCACGCCGACGTCGCCGATGCATCGCCCACGTCGAGGATGCATCGCCCCTGCACCGCCGATGTATCGCCGATGCATCGGCGATGCCGCGCTATCCTTCGACCGCATCTACTCCGACCCCATTTGGGAGGCCTCTAAAGAAGTCCAGCCCGAGGCCCCACGATGGAAATTCGGCCGTCCCCCCAGCAGCGTAGCTGTGCACCTCCTCGGGTTTGTGACGTGTGCCATCAGGTCATGGGGCCACATGCGAAAGAGCGTGTTCTACCGCTGCTGGCGGAAAACCGGGGGGGGTCACTACCGGTTCGAACCCCACCCCCCCCCCCCCCCCCTCCGGAAAAACCGGGGGGGGGGTCAAACCTAACGGTCGAACCCATCCCCCCCCACCCCCCCCCTGCTCATCATTTTTTTTGCAAAAGGGGAGGGGGGGGTCACTTTTTTTTTTGTTTTTTTATTTTTTTTTTATATCCTTTTCTTTATTATTTTTTTTTTTTTTTTTTTTTTTTCTTTTGTATACCGTTCGAACCCCTCCCCTTCCCCCCCCCCCCCCCCCCCTCCGGATCCGGAAAACCGGGGGGGGTCACTACCGGTTCGAACCCCCCCCCCTCCTCGAAAAC